GAGATGGAGGATACTATTGCTGAGGGGTTCAGAGGTCATCGACAGTTGCCCTATGCCCACTGGATCACTTTTCTTATTCACAGGGCAGTTACTGTGAGGCCATCTGAGATGCTAGCAGAGTACAGTGGTGCTACTACAGAGTTTCCTATCTACAACATGACTCAGATGATACGCCACAGTGCAGTGAGGCCACCTAGTCAGCCGCGCCATCGTCTAGATATGCCAGAGTCTGTAGCCCAGTAGGATGAGACCATCAGGAGTGTTGCAGCTATAGAGGAGGAGCAGCTTGATGCTCAGTAGGAGGGCATGGTAGAGAGCGACCCCAGTGACAGCTCAGATGACGACTACCAGGCTATCCCTCAGATGCCTCCACGACGACATGATGTTGAGGCCGGTAGCTCCAGTTCAGCTCCACTTGCACTGCAGACAGACCCCGCTCTACTTGCCATACTTAAGCGGATGAGGCAGGATCAGGCTCGCCAGACACAGGAGACCGCCGCTACTTTCGCATAGTTTCAGACTAGGCGGGATGAGTTCTAGCGACAGCAGCAGGCGATCCAGCAGCAGCAGGCTATACAGTAGCAGCAGGCCATGCATCAGCAGCAGCTTCTCATGCAGCAGCAGCTACTTGGGTTTATGCAGCATGTTGTGATAGCTATTGGGGCTCCATCGCCACAGTCTTCGCCCCAACTTGGTTAGCTTGCCACCACTTCTATGGCTCTAGCATTACAGCCTAGTGGGCTTTAGAGTCAGGGACAGCCACCAGCACAGTTTGCTTCACCTACAGAGCAGGTGTCCCAGTGGTTTGCCTCGCCAGTGCCAGCCCTGCAGTTCACACCTTTTCAGACGAGCTTCACACCGGCTCAGACTTCCTCGCTGCTAGTGCCAGAGACTATAGTTTCCAGGAGCCTTGGTGCTTCCTTCAGTGAGTTGACAGGGCAGCCTACTCCGCCATATCTACATGTCCTAGGTCCTTCTACAGTTGCACCTATTACCGAGACTACAGAGACGCTCCCTTTCTCTGTTGCATCATCAGAGCCACCTGCTTCAGTGGTACATGCACAGTCTACGGCCGCTCCAGTCCCTGATCCGACCTAGACCGCTTCAGCATCACTTCCTGCTACAGAGGGTCAGATTGCTCAGAGCTAAGGGTCAGATGATGATGGCACCCAATTCTAGCTCGATCCTCGTACCTTAGTGCCCGGCTCGTCCGCTGCAGACCCGCCCATCGACCCTTAGGTTTTGGTGTTTGACGCCAAAGGGGGAGAGGGTTCGAGTATGTTAGTCTTAGGGGGAGCGACATATCTAGAGGAAGTGTAGTTTATCTATTAGCTTATCTATCATATTTGGTTATCTATCATATTTGGGTTTTTTGTGTGATACACTACACTATTATGCATTCATGTGTTTACTTTCATGCACCGAACTATATTTATGTGATAGTGATATCTACGTGATCGTGATAATTATGTGATATGTGACATGTGTGCTCTCTACTTTGAATTATTTATATGTCATATCACTTGTGTTATGCTCATTTGCTTTGCTTCCGCGTTCTTACTCCGATGTAAATGAGCTTTATTATTTGTACTCATGCTTATTTCAAATCTATTGAGTACATCATGTTGGCTTGGGTCATATAAGCTTGTCTAACTCTCTTGTTCTTATTGCCAAAAGCTTATATGATCCAAGCATGTTAAAAACCTCATCTCTTTCACATACTCGAGGTGGTATTGTCATCAATCACCAAAAAGAGGAAGATTGAAAGCATCTAGGCCCCTAGTTGGGTTTCAGTGATTAATAACAATACGTGATTACTGTGACTAACGTGTGTTTTGTAGAGGCAATTAAGTTAGGTCATGGTAATGGAGATCGATTGGGCAATCATGGTGGTCATGCCCCTACGATGGAAATCGTTTCGGTTTTCAAAGGATGGACGACAAGGTTAAGGATGGACTAGTTCTAAGTGTCGTTTGGTGTTGAAGAGACACTTAGAGTAGTTTAGGACTTTATTTTTCCTTTGGCCGTACTATTAAGGGGGTATGGATGAGTAGCTTGATCTAGGTGAGTCTAGTGAGTTAGGTGATGAGGACATCACCATGCTGGACACACCGACGCCATGGTCTTCCCCAAGTTGCAATTCGTTTCCAACTCAGCTGCCACGTCGCCCTCGGATTCAGCAGACACGTCGTCACAGTTTTGGTCATAACTTTCTCATACGACATCGAAACGGGCCGTTCTTGGATGCGTTGGAAAGGGGACGACGACGCCGTCATTTTGGATCTAGTCCCAGCTCCAGAAGGTCCGTGGATCATTCTGTGTGACCACAGCAAGGTGCTGCGTCACCTATTTGGGCCAACTTGGCCATGTATCGTGTCGGGCCTTAAGCCCAAGTTGTGGACGCCCAACCCCTGGCCGTCCCCAACCCTAGGTCGAGTCTTAGACTATAAACACAGCCGTCGCCGCTGCTACACAATTGGGTTTTGTTTAGAGTTTAGTTTTCCATCGAGAAACTGAATCGTTCATTGTAAATGTGGTGACAAATCCTTTTACAGTGATCTAGGGCCCCCGTTCTTGATCTCCTCCACTGTGTCGATTAGTCCTTTGGAACCGAGTTCTAGAACCCTCTATTGATATTCGCGTCATTCATATTTGCAATATCAGATTACGTGTTTTACCTTCTTGCTTGTGCTCTTCGATTCGCTTGCAGGAAAAGCCTTCTTGGCGAGGTCAATCAAGTTGTGCTTGGTTGATAACCAACGGAGCAGTGGTGTAACGGTTGCAGGGTTCGAATCGCGTCTGATTTGAAGCCGGATCGCCAACGTCGAGATCTCCACAAATCGAACTTACCGGCTACCTCTCGGAAGATCGGGCCTGTACTCATCAATAGGTGTGGTGCACGCTTATTAAATCTAGCACTAGGTAGCTCCTAAAAAGCCCTTAGATCCATTGGAGCAAACTTCACTCACGCATGATCGAGAGTTGGAAGTGAATGGAGGATCAAATGTTGACCGGACGCTGGTTCTGAAGTGACCGGACGCTGGCTCAGATTCTGGTCAGTTTATTTGATCAAGGTGAAATCGTCTGGCGCGACCGGACGCTGAGAGGTGAGCGACCGGACACTGTGTGCCAGCGTCCAGTCGACTCCAGTAAGGTTCGAAAGAGGGAAAATCGTGACCGGACGCGTCCGGTCACAACTTAAACAATAGAGTTCGGGGTGAACTGACCGGAGCGTTCGATCACCCCGCAGAGGCACATAACGGTTCGTTTTTCAACCAATGTTATAAATACTTCCTCCATTCATGTGAGGGGGTACTTTTGCTCATTCCAACAGCTGAGAAACACATTTGAGAGTGTCAAGAAGAGCAAGGTCATAATGAGGTGATTGAGATTTGAGAATCCCAAAGGGAGCGCTCATTAGTGAAAACAAGAGTAGCAAAGTGTGCATTCACCCTTCTCATTAGGCTTGTCGTGGTCAAGTGAGAGTTCGTGCTTGTTACTCTTGGTGATCGCTATCACCTAGACGGCTTGGTGGTGATTGGGAGCTTGGTGATCATCCGGAGAGCTTGTGGATGACCCGGCTCAAGTTGTGAGCGGTTGTGGGTAATTCACCACGACGGAGTGTCGAAGAATCAACCCGTAGAGAGCACTTGATCCTTGCGTGGATCAAGGGGGAGCTACACCCTTGCGCGGGTGCTCCAACGAGGACTAGTGGGGAGTGGCGACTCTTCAACACCTCGACAAAACATCGCCGCGTTCCTCCTTCTCTCTTTACTTTGAGTATTTACTTTGAGCAATTCAATTTTTGTCATTTACATTCTTAGAATTGCCATGCTAGAGTAGGATTGGAACATAGGTTGCTAAACTTTTGTGGGTTAGATCAATAAAAATACTTTGTAGGCACAAGGGGTTAATTGGACTAACCGTAGGATTTAATTATTGCAAAGAAATTTAGAATTGGCCTAATTCACCCCGCCTCTTGGACATCTTGATCCTTTCAGTATATATAAATATTGTTAAACGCTAAAGGGAAGATCATTTCTTGGGCTCAAAATACTGTATACTTACTGAAGAATTTCCTGTGGGTGGGAATGCATGGTGAAAGAAGTTTTTTTTTGTCAACAAAAGCATCCGACTCACCATAGTTAATGGCTAAATCTAAGCTAGACAGTGGTTTTTTCTTTGTTGTGCCTCATTCCCAACCTGCTAGTACGTAGTAACTGCGAATATACCTTTGTTCTGTTGTAGGCTACAACCACAATTACAACAGCGTACAGTAACAAGCTTCTCCTAAACACATAACAGTCGAAGGCTTGAAGCTGACTACAAACCACAATTACAACAGCATCCACACATACCACTGGTTACCCTTCTCGACGCATTGTAACCAAAGCAATGCCAGATAAAGGTTAAGAACTCTCCTCCAGAGTCAGGTCTATACTTGTTCTCTTTGCGTTCCGACTGGGGGCAATGTGTACAAGTAATTTGGCCTACACCCCAGCCAGAATCTCCCATCGGTTTTCTTAGTCCTAGTTGTCGATAAGGTCCTTGGCTAACATAGCACATTGCTGCACTATGTTCATACTCAGCTTGCCATCCTCACTGTCTTGCACAGCAGCTGATGTTACACTCCTATACTGCAGAAGCAATCGACAAGAACATGTTATAAACGATAGGCAATATAAACGACGAAGAACAGTAGATCAAGCATAGGGGACACGAGATTTTAACGTGGAAAACCCTCCCAAGGTGGAAGGGAAAAAACTACGGGCACCAGCCAGCAAATCTTCACTATATCGGGTGAGGTTACAAACGTGGGGGATTTACAACTTTTCTTATCCCAAGACGACGGCTTACATGAAGTATATATAGATGGAAAACCCTAATAGGTGACGATCCGTACCTGGCAGAAATTAGCTTTTATCTTGTACATAACTGAATTTGGATCACAGCTCAACAGAACAGACAATCGGACATAGTATAAAAATAGGGGTGACCAATTACTGGGCAGTGCTCTGCATTGTTACTGATGTCATTTTTGTGTATTCCTCTTTTATCTGCTTCAGTTTCACCACCACGTTCCTCATTGACATCCTTTCTTCAGGCGAGCCACTTGAGCAGAGCAAGCCCATCTCGAATATTGGCACAAGAGAATCATTCAGGTCATGGATAGAAGCAGCTTCCTGCAGAAGCTGGTCGTCCAGAACAGAGGCAAGTTCAGATGGAAATGCTTGATGAACCCACTGTCTGATGCTCAGTTCTCCATCGAACAGCAGATCTGTGGGTCTCTTTCCAGTGAAGACTTCAAGGAGCATGATTCCATAGCTGAACACGTCACTCTTGCGTGATGCCTTTCCAAGAGATCCGTACTCTGCTTAAGAAAGTTCACAAAACAGAGATTCAGCATAATTGATGGACACAATAAACAAATTCTAAACTAGGTTTGGCAAGAGTACAAAATGCTCTCGTACCTGGTGCCATGTACCCAAGTGTTCCGGGCATGGTTGCAGTGATCATGGAACTGTCATCACCCAATAGCAACTTTGCTATACCAAAGTCTGCTACATGCGCTGTCATGTCATCGTCAAATAGCACGTTGGCAGGCTTCAAGTCACAGTGCAGGACCACCTCGTGGTGCTCGTGGTGTAGATACTCCATTGCCATCGACACATCCAGCATGATGTCGAGCCTCTTGAGGAACCCAAGGTGTCTTCTTCCTTCAGCGTGTAGGAGCATATCCAGGCTTCCATTGGGCATGTACTCAAGCACCAATATTCTGAGGTCCAGGTTGGAGCAGGTGTTTAGTATCTTTATCAGATTCCGGTGTCGAGCCATGTGAAGCACACGGCACTCAGCATCGAAGCTTCTAATTGCTTTTTCCAGTTGCATGTCTAGAACTTTTACTGCAACCACCAATCCAGTGTTCAGTTGGCCCTTGAAAACTTTTCCAAAGCTCCCAGTCCCCAACAGGTTATTGTCGGAAAAATTATCAGTGGCGCGAACAAGCTCATGGTAGGAGAGTAACCTATGGCTCATGTCATCTCTTTGGCCAGAAACAGAGGCATGTACTTCTCTCTTGTTTCTGAGTTTCCTTCTTATCATTAGGTAAACAAAAAGAACAATAGAACCAAATGCTATGATGGCAGCAGGGAGTAGATATTTTAGCAAATGCATGTCATTTGAGTTAGACCTCATAAGACATGGTGAAAATCCTAGACGGGGAGCACCACATAGTCCAGCATTCCCAATCAATGATGACAAGGTGATGTTTGAAAAAACGCCTCCGTCTGGTATCTTACCTTCTAGCTTATTAAAGGAGAGATCCAAGATTGTTAAGGAGAGATTGGCAAGGAACTTGGGAATGGCACCAGAGATATTGTTGGAGGAGATATCGAGTGATGCTAAGTTGATCAGCTCTTGAAAAGATTCTGGGATTGTGTCCTCAAATGAGTTGTGTGATAGATTTAAATCATGGAGCATCCTAAGCTGTCCAAATGAATCAGGGATTTTTCCGGTCAAAAAGTTGGAAGATATAAAAATTTGATCCACCTGTTTTAGACCACTAACATCAGCCGGTAGGGCACCAGAAAAATAATTGTAAGAAAGATAGAGTCCGAGAAGTTTATCCAGGTGGAATAAGCTAGCCGGTATTGTTGAATTTAAGTGGTTATAAGCCAACACGAGGGCCTCTATCTTGGTGAGGTTTCCTATGCTATCGGGTATAGGACCAAACAATTTGTTTCCCAAGAGATACAGTCTTTGTAAGCTTGTCAACATACCAATTTGTGTTGGGATAGGACCTGACATATCATTGCCTGAGATATCAAGGTATCCCAGATTTTGCATCAATGTGATCGATTCTGGTATTGCTCCCGTTAGTAGGTTGTTGCGGAGATCAATCTGATAAAGATTACTTAAGTTTGCCAAGGTTGGTGGAAGCACACCTGTTATCTTGTTGTAGCCTGCATAAAACTCTCTAAATTCTGTGGACAGGTTTCCCACATGGTCAGGGAGTTCCCCAGTGAAAGAATTAGAAAATATGCCAACCTCCTGGAGCTGCCTACAATTGGAAAGAGAGGACAGGAAGCCAAGATTTCCGTTGAAATTATTATATGACAGTTCAAACGTGATCAGAGCTTGGATGTTCCCAAGTGTGGCTGGTACTGATCCAGACAACTGATTTTGTTGAAGATTTAGGTTATACAGATTAGATAAATTTGTGAGACTGGTTGGCATTGGACCTGTTAGCTGGTTGGTTCCAAGATGCAGATATGAGAGTCCTCGCATTAGGCCTAATTCAGTTGGAATATCTCCTGTCAGGTTGCAGAAAGATAGGCCTAGAACAGTAAGACTGGTGAGATTACTAAGAACAGCTGGGATAGATCCAACAAGGTGATTATTGCCCAACAGAATAGTTGTGAGTTGGGGTAGTTGAGCCAACCATGTTGGCACAGTATCAAAGAAAGAATTGAAGACCAATGAGAGAAATTGCAGTTGTTGGCACCCTGAAAGCGCTAGTGGTATCCCACCTACAAAGTTGTTCTTATGCAAGTAAAACCCCTGCAACACCGGTAGGCTAAAACTTTGATTGCTAGGAATTGACCCAGATAGATTGTTTTGTCCTAGTGACATGACTTGCAGCAGTGACATGTTGAACATGGTCGTGGGTACTGTGCCAGAGAGCTGATTGAGTTGCAGGTCCATGTACTCTAGCCGGGGCATGGAGCCCACACCGTGAGGTATCGTACCTGATAGCATGTTGTTTCCAAGGTCGATGTACCTCAGTGAAGGTGTGTTATTGAAAAGATATGGCGGTATTTCACCACTTAACTCGTTATTTTTCAAAGAAAGGCGCTGAAGATTGGGCAGATTCTGTAGCAGCTCCGGCAAGATCTGCTTGGAGAGACTGTTGTAACCAAGGTCAAGAAGGTACAGCTGTGAGAGATTGCCTATGGTACTAGGAATGGCGCCGGAGAGGCCATTTCCAGTGAGACTTAGTTTCCTAAGCCGATGTAGCCTACCAAGATCGGAAGGAATTGTACCGGAGAGGTCGGTGTTTGTGAGGTTGAGCAGCATGAGGAAAGAGAGGTTACCGAGATGTGGGCTGAGCTCTCCTTGGAGTGACACACCTGGCAAAGATAGCGCGGTGACGCGCTGCCGGCGGCGGCTGCATGAGACGCCGACCCAGCGACAGAAGGACACGTTGGTTGTCCAGTTGCTGGCAAGGACACCCAGAGGATCGGCGAGCTGGCCTTTGAAAGCCATGAGCGCCGCGAGGTCAGTGTTGCTGCCATTGATGTTGTTGGGAGTCAGACTTGGGCCCGGAGAAGACGAAGAAGCAGAAGCAACACCAGTAACTAGAACTGACAGTAAGGTGGCCAACAATAACACCAGCACGAACGAGCTGCTTGCAGGAGCCATTGGAGCTGCTTGCAGAAGACACAGAGAAATGCATACAGAGATCGAGTGTGTTGTGGTGCACCTCCATGGACTGCTCCGTAGCAACATTTTGTAGGAAAGTAGTAGCCCGATTTTATTGGTCGGATGGCCATATTGGTCGCTTGCTTGGCTGGGCTTGTTTGGCTAATATGTTGACTGATAATTACCCGTTGCCGGCCAGAGGAATGAAGAAAGAAAGGCTTGTTCTGGTATAGTTGTACACTACTTGTACTTGGTCACACCTGGCTGCTCGTAATGCCTGTAGGTTTGTATCTGAGATAGACGTGCCCATACTAAATTCCAGGTCCGTCAAAGTCATCCAGGGTCCAACCAAAACGCGACGATCATGGTGGAAAATATATATACTGGAGCCTGCAGATTCTCACCTAAGAAGAGAGAGTAGCAGCATGAATGTGCTCCTTGATAAGTAATAAGTTACTTTTTAGATTACGAAGTAATAAGTTACTGATTTCATTTCCTTCCTTCGCCGGCTGCTGTATTCCTTTTCCCCTCTTCTAATCTGCTATGTACGCACACCAGAGCTTACAGGATTGCCTCTGCTAGCTTGTGAATTGTGGTGCTTCCTTGTGAAGTAATCAACTGCCGACCATGGCCGGTGATAGGACATGAGGATGATGTGGTCCACCAGCACCACTGAATGGAGAAATTCTAACACAATATTACACTTTCAAACCCTGCCAGTTTGTCAAAGATGGAGTAAAGAGAGTGATTTGGACCTTGTGCAAACTCTGTTATCTAAACCTATCATCTATTGTGTGCGCTCTCCGTTTAGGAACCACATGTTTCCTGTGTTTATGCTTGTTGTTATTATACATGTCTCAGTGTCTGACTGAATTAAGGGCCTAAGCATCAGGATTTGTAATGAAGGCTCACCGGGGCTTGCAATTCTTCCATAGTAACGAGTTGTCATTGTATATGTTCAAGCGCTGCACTGTTCTTCGGGACAAGAGTGGTTGATGACTGACTCAAAGTCTTTGTCAAGTGTGGAGGGAGAAGTATGCTGAGCTGTGCTGAGAACACGTACCGAAGAATAGCGAAGGAAATATCGGGGAAGAGTAGCGTGGTGACCGGCGAGCCTGCTGCTCTTTGGATGACGACCTGCCTCCGGTCCAACTCCGCAGTCTCCAGTCTCCACCTGTGCCGCATTTTGTCGAACGAGCGGCGCGCACCGCCTACTGTTTGAGCGTTGCAGTTCAAAAGTTTTTTTTTCTTTTGTACATCTCCATCAGCAGCAGAGAATTTACTCAACCAAACCAATTTTTAACTTGTGGTGCTTGCATATTGAACTACAAAATATTGGTATTTTGCTAAACAAGACGACTGCTCAGTATTCCTGCTTTTCCCTTTAGTGGCATCACAGCACACATCTGTGTCAACTTGGGGAGGGTGTTGAACTGAAAAATTAATCAAATCACGCAGGCAGACAGGCTTTAAGAACAGCGCACAACTGAATCATATAATAGTATTCACTGTAGCTTGTGACAGGACGCTGCTTTTGTCCTGATCGAACGCGTCCGGTCGTCCCGACCGTTGGAGCGCGCGTTGATCGGACGCACTGCTAAGTCCGGTCACTGTTGATCGGACACATCCGGTCGCGCTGTCGCCGCTCTGAAACCTCTCTGGACTCGATCGGACGTTGTAGTTCCTACGTCCGGTCAATTATCCGCCAGCGTCCGGTCAGTGGTGAGCTATTGTCGCGACGGTGAACAGTGTCATCGTCGCGCCCGATCACTTTTAGTCCTCAGCGCCCGATCGCTGCCGCTGACGCTGCCGATGCCGAGCATCTTTTGATCGGACGCGTCTGGTCGTTATAAGGGCCGCGTCCGGTCACCTATGTGAAGCTCGTTTCTTCGCGATCTTGCGTCCGATTTGGTTACTATCTTCGTGCTTGGATTTTGCTTGATATCTTAAGTCTTCTCTTATGCTTCTAGGGTCTTGCTTATGGTGTTGATCATAGGATCATCATGTCGCCTTCGTCCAAGTCACGTCTTGCACCCTATTGAACTACAAAATAATTACTTGCAAATTCATTAGTCCAATTTGGTTGTGTTGGTCATCAAATACCAAACTCCAAAGTAAATGGGCCTAGGGTCCATTTTTCTTACAATCTTCCCCTTTTTAGTGATTAATGACAACACGGCCAAAACAAGCAAATAATAAAAAAAATTAGATTTTAAAAACTATTTACTTGCTAGGATGCAATGCAAAGGGCAATGTTATATGATGCTAAAAGATACCACATGTAAACATCTTTGGAAACTTATCTTGTCCTTGCAAATGTGTCCATGTGGCATTATGGATTTAAGCCCCCCCTAACTCCATAGTCCACTATCCTCCCTTTCTCGGACCATTATCACTTGTAAATTATTATGATCGAGCTTGCTTTTGGTCCTACAAATTCTCCCTCTTTGGAATCAAACACCGAAAAGGAAGACATTAGTAACACAAGGGAGGGTCAAACTTTGTGATCCTTTGTACGTGGAGTGGAATAGGTCACAAAATTTGACTCTCACATTACATAGACTAAACTCCCCTTAAATATATGCATACATATGATGAAGAATGTAGTTTATGCATAATTATCAAATTAATGCTCAAGGGAGTTTAATCTATATAATGCATGGAGAAAGCATATAAATATCAAAGTGAAATCAACATGATGATATCGGTTTAGAAATACCACATGTGGAAACCAATTTGATTTAAACCACTTGCAATATGTGGTGGATATTTGAAGTATGGTGCTTAACTCCGGGGACTTCATTTTTCTTGCAATGAGACTACTACACACATGATAAGCTTGAAAATGTGTTAGTCTCAAATCATCCAACTTGTAGAGTAACCTCCCCCTAAATTTATGCACTCAAGTATGGAATACTTGTAGGAGACATGCACATTGATTTTAGAATAAAAAATACCACTTGAAAGATGACATCACATGAATGTGAGAATCATTTTCGAAAGTAATATTCGGGAGAAATTATCTATAATTTAGACTTTGGCACATATTAGATGAACAATTGTAAAACAAGCTATGTGCCGTGCTCCTAAACAATTTAAACCATGTAGGTTTGCTCCAAGGGTTAAGAGTAAAACCGAGCAAGCCTATCATAAGATATACCTAGTATATGCATGACAAAGAATTTAAGCATGCAAATGCAAACCTAGGCATGAAAAGAAACTAGATGCTAATTGAAATTACAAGAAATTAAATCTAGTTACCTAACATGGGGAGGGGAATTTGGGTCCATAGTATTCACTAACTCACTTGGTAATTACCTTGTCTATAATGACGCATCCCATGAAATGCATCCATACTTTTCTAAGTCTCCAAATTTTCTAAAGTCCATCGGACTTCTCACTTCCCTTTCGGGATCCAAACCTTCTTGGTGCTCTTCATGTTGGAAATGATCTCCTTTTGCATCCAAACGTGTTTGACCCCCATTGTTAGCTTGCTTGTTCACCTTGATGGCTACCACCTTGTTATTTTTCTTCTTCTTCAAGAGATAAGGTGTGGAGGCCTTTTTGTCCACCTTTTTGGTGTAGGTGTTAGAGAGCTTGCATGTTTTTTTTTGTTTTTCTCTTTCTTCTTAGTTCCTCCCCCATTCTTCACCTTGCACTCATAGGACTTGTGACCTTCCTTGTGGCATACATAGCAAACCACGGTTTGTCCTTCATCAAGCTTCTTCACTCCCTTCACAGTGTTATCTTGATGAAGTTGGGCTTGCTCCGTTTTGCCTCTTACTTGAGTCAAGTCTTTGGTAAGGCGAGCCACTTCTTGCTTGAGTTGCTCATTCTTCATTGCAACCTCTTGTGTGCATGCATCTATAACAACTTTCTCAACACAAACTTGGTTGCACAAGGGTGAGTCTAAACATAAATCATTGTAAGAAGTAGAGGCATCTTTTTTAGGCATATAAAAAATTAGACCTTTCTTTTTAGGTGCCTTGGTGGGGGTTGTACCGACGGCTTCAAGATTAGCAACTTTATTAGTTAGCTCATCATAATGTTTGCACATAGTTTCTATTTTAGCAAGCAAACTTTTATAAGCATCTTGTAAGTTAGCTAACTTTTTCTTTAATTTTTTATTTTTCTTTACAAGTTGCTCGTCATTGATTATACAATTATTTGTGTTTGCACTAGTCTCAAGTTACTCAATTTTAGTAGATAGCTCCATATTAATATTGGCAAAAGTTTTATATTGGTCAAGCAAAGTAGCATAAGCTTGTTGTGAGCTATCTAGTTTTTCTTTTAATTTTTCAAGCTTCTTTTGTTGACTAGTGCAAACTTTAGCAAAGTTAAGATTTCCTTGCACAATTTCATCAAAAGAAGGCATTTCATCATCACTATCACTCTCACTAGGGGATGGGCTTTCGTTACCTCGTGCCATAAGGCACACACGAGAAGAGCTTGATGATGAGTGCTTGTGGCCTCGCCTCTTGTGATGGTCTTCTTCTTCACTTGAAGAATCATCCCATGACCTTATTGATGTGAGGGCTTTGTCCTTGCACGCCTTCTTCTTTGCCTTGGGTGTGGGCTTGTTTGGACAAACTTTCACAAAGTGCTCCAACTCGTTGCATCCATAGCATCCTTTCTTTCTTTGCTCATTTCTTTGATTGGTGAAGATGAAATCTTGAATTTGGATGGACACACCATTGACATTGAGCCTTTGTATCATCTTCTCCACCTTGTTGATAAGTTTGATTGATTCTTCATCAAGGTCGGAGGTGGAGGAGGAAGATTGATCATCATCACTTGAATATTCTTCTTCTTCATCATCATCATCATCATCATCATCATCATCATCTTCACTTGAGGAACTTCAGCTTGAGCTTGTTTCAACTTGCTTGCCCTTCATCTTCTTTTTCTCTCTACATGCGAGAGCTTTGCCTTTACTTGATGAAGATGATTCTTCTTGACCCATCTTGCGTGACATTTCAAATGCCACTATCTTGCCAATG